GTGGGATTCTAGCTCCCTGACCAGGGATCAAACCCTCAGCTCCTGCACTGGAGCACTTAACCACTGAACCACCAGGGAAGTCTCTGAGATCAGCTTTTAGATAAACTGCTTGAATTTGAAATTTGAAATTTCATTAACTACTTGAACAGCAATTTGAAATTGCTGTTTAGATTCCTCTGGGGAAACCCAATCGCAGGTAGGCAGGTCTTGATTCAGAGATGCCACCTCTGGGTCCTGTCTGGGGCCAGCAAGATGTTCACAGAAGGAAGGCAAACCCACCCACTAGGAGGTGGACCTCACCAGAGGACATCAGGTACATTTCTAGGATGCCGGGAGAGGAATGAGGGGCTCTTCTGCCAGCCTGTAATAACCGGAATATGAGAGTTCTGCATCTGGGATGCAGTTAGACTGTTTACTGCCTGTCTATGCTTATGTCTTGAAAGCTTAACATAACTCTGAATGGGAGATTTAAATCCACAAGTATGTTGTTTTGCAAAACTGGCAGCAGTTCTTTCAATGCAATACATAAGATACATTACTGTGTTGCCTCCAGATCTCGTGTTCTGTCTTTGTTATTATGTTTTGCTCTTAAATAAAGAAAATCTTTAGGACCACAGTCCTGTACATGTCTTGTGAGGATTCCAAGAACCTTTCCATAAGCTACTTTCCAAGAAGCAATTTCTTTCTCGTCCCACAGAACTCCCCAAAGCACCTTAGGCGAACTCCAAGGCGCTGGGTATGTTCGCAAACTGCAAATGTAGCAGACATTCAATTACATCGAATTCATCAAAAACCTAATTGAGACAGGAACTCAAACCTTATGGCTGAATTACTTTAATTTCAGATGGGGAGCAGACTCGGTCACGAACAGCCTTTCACGCTGAGGACACCATTAGAGAAGTCCACAGGCGCACACTGGTAATTCTCCCCGCAAATGCAAGTGTGGAGCAACGTAAATGACGCTGCCAAGTGAGCCCCCTGACTGGATTGATGAATCAGCTCAATTCCCAAAGTCCGGCCTGTGCTGCCACACCCCTCTGTCCCAGCTCCACTGCCCAGGCGGGCTTCTCGGTAGATAAGGCAGCACCTGTGTCTCACCGAAGTTGGTTTTCCTCCCAGTGATCAGAAGGCACAGGGACCAGGACCAGTCCTCTGAGGTCTTTCTACTAACACCTCCTCATCTTTTCTTTTTTAATGTACTCATTCACTTATTTGGCGGTGTCGGGTCTTAGCTGTAGCACACGGGCTCATTGCTATGTCATGCAGGATCCTTTGCTGTGGAGCACGGACTCTCGAGTTGTGACTCACTGGGATCTTAGCTTCCCAACTAGGGATCGAACCTTCATCCCCTGCATCGGGAGGCAGATTCTTAACCCCTGGGCCAACAGGGAATCTCCAACACCTCATCTTGCTTCTCATTTTCTCCCCCACCTTCCCATTCCTCCCCACTGGCATCCTGTGGTTGTTCAACGATTTTTTTTTAAACTTTTTTTAAATTGAAGGATAATTGCTTTACAAAGTTGTGGTGGTTTCTGCCATACATCAGCATGAATCAGCCATAGGTATATATATATCCGTCCCTCTTGAGCCTGTCTCCCGCTCCCACCCCATCCCACCCCTCTAGGTTGTCACAGACTACTGCGTTGAGTTCCCTGTGTCATACGGCAACTTCCCATTAGTTATCTATTTTACATATGGTAATGTGTATGTTTGGGCTCAGCTGGTAAAGAATCCGCCTGCAATGCAGGAGACCCCAATTTGATTCCTGGGTCAGGAAGATCTCCTGAAGGAGGGCATGACAACCCACTCCAGTGTTCTTGCCTGGAGAATCCCCATGAATAGAGGAGCCTGGTGGACCCCATTATAGTCCATGGGGTAGCAAAGAGTTGGACATGATTGAGCGACTAAGCACACAGCACATGTTTCAATGCTACTTTCTCAATCTGTCCCACCCTTTCCTTCCCCTGCTGGGTCCACAAGTCTGTTCTCTATGTTGAGTCTCTATTGCTACCCTGCAAATGGGTTCATCAGTACCATTTTTCTAGATTCCATATGTAAATGTTAATCTATGATATTTGTTTTTCTCTTCCTGACTTACTTCACTCTGTATAACAGGCTCTCGGTTCATCCACCTCACTAGAACTGACTCAGATTCGTTCCTTTTTATGGCTGAGTAATAGTCCATCATATATATGTACCACAACTTTCTCCATTCACTTGTCAATGGACATCTAGATTGCTTCCATGTCCTGGCTATTATAAATAGTGCTGCAATGAACATTGGGGTAGATGTGTCTTTTACAATTGTGGTTTTCTCAGGGTATAAGCCCAGAAGTGGTATTGCTGGATCATATGGTAGCTTTACTTCTAGTTTTAAAAGAAATCTCCATGGGCTTCCCTACTGTTTTAGCAGTAAATAATCCACCTGCAATGCAGGAGATGTGGGATGTATCTCTGGGTTGAGAAGATCCCCTGGAGAAGGGAATGGCAACTCCAGGATTCCACTCCAGTTTTCTTGCTTGGGAAATCCTATGGATAGAGGAGCCTGGTAGGCTACAGCTCATGGGGTCACAAATGAGTTGGACATGACTTAGTGACTAAACAACAACATATTGTTCTCCATGGTAGCTGTATCAACTTAGATTCCCACCAACTGTGCAAGAGGGTTCCCTTCTCTCCACATCCTCTCCAGCATTGTTTGTAGATTGTATTGTTAATAAGTTCTGCCAATGGGTAGGTCAAATTATTGCAGTGACCGAGGGTGGAATCTGGGGACAGTGACCCCAGGGAACCTTATTCTTCTCAGAGCTGATGATGGTGTCTGACTGTACTAGTGTGTACCACATGGACCAAGCACTGCTGAACAAGCTCTGTTTCATCCTTACAGTGATGCTAAGAGGTAGATGTCCTTGTACCCACTCTACAGATGAGAACACTGAAGCTTAGAGAGGTGACATAACTTCTCCAAGGCTCCATAGCCAGCAAATGGCAGAGCCAGGATTCAGATCCAGGCATATCTGATCCCCGGGCTCATGTTCTTTCCAAAACATCATTTTTTCTCCCTCTGCAAAGACTTCCGGGGTTCTACAAAGGTCTTAAAAGAGAGCTGGAACTTTCCAAGTGGGCACAGGACGAGGAGAGTCAGGAGGGAGGTCAGCCTCGGAATCACCACTCGGCTCTTCTAACACCATCGTGGTTGGTGTTTCTCCCCTGATCATGTGAGAGGAGCTTGGCAAGGTCCTTCCAGGGGGGCGAAGTGACTGATCCCAGCACTTGCTGAAGTTCAGGAAGCAATGTGTCTTTTCTGCAGGTGTTCTAACCAAGCCAGTGATTAACCGCATTGCTAATAAATTATGAAACATAAGTGCATTCAGCCCACCTCCTATGTAATTAATTGTGTGGCATTTACTCGGCACTTTTCAGCTATGTGTTTCATTTCTTTACATTATTTCTCCCCCTTTGGGCTTGACTTTGCATCAAGCTTCAGGTACAAATGACTAATGAACTAGTGACAACACTAATACCGGCCGAGCTACTACTCCTTCTGCTAAAGGTGACAATGCTAATTAAGAGAGTGCTGACAGCCGCGGGCTCTGCGGAATGTGACTATTCATCTCCGGGAGGCAATGAGAGGGTGGCCAGCATAGGTGGGGGCCAGGGAAGTACAAACGGCCCCAAAGGCAAACACGGACACTCACTTTTTGGGGGTACGAACTACATTTACAAGCTAAAAAATACCATGTCGCGGGCCCATAAAATCTGACGAGACAACGGACTGAAAGCATGAAGAAAGAAAACATCCAGTCTAGTGAATCAGGTGTAACTTGATCACCATACATGGACCCAGCTGCCCAGAAGCCCCTTCTGGGAGTAAGCATCCAGCTGTGGGCTCTTCAGCCAACCTGATGGGATCAGGGTGTCCCTCTGTCTGTACCCAGAAGCAACAAACCAACCAGGCGACCCAGACAAACCACTTGGCATGAAGATGATGGGAATGAAAAGCAGGCAGTAAGGGGGGCAGTGGTGCCAGGGAGCAGCCGGCCTTTGAGACTCGGGTCTGCATGAGAGTCAGTGGTGCTGGGTGCCCCCAGCCAGGATCTGGGAAAGGATGTAGGAGAAGGTTTGCAGGAAGTTCCTTAGCCCTACAAACCAATCAGCCATTTCCAGCAGAACCTGCATCCTTCCTCCATAGCGAGGGGGCTGGTGGGGTCCCCAGGTTCCTCAGTACTGCAAGTGGGAGACCCTCACGGGCTACTGGAAGTCGCTTTTCCTAGAAGATATGGAGTCCTGGCTGTTTGGGCAGAGAGCTCAGGACTGTGTTTCTGAATAATCTTTCTACGAAAGAAATTAGGGCATCAGAGCCAGCCGGGAGTGGGGTTGGCTGCAAACCTGCAGTTGCCACTTCAAGGCTGCAGATGCCCGGCAGCCTTACATGGTGGTGACATCAGGTGTCTTCTCCAGATTTTCCAAGACAGACACCAGATACACACGGGCCCTATGACACCTTCTGGCAGTGGAATAGTCTCTATAGATAAAACGCAGGTATGCAAAGCCTCTCATGACCCCCAAAGTGAGCTCAAGTGGACACAGAAGTCAAATGTTTGATCCTTATAGAAAAAGAGAGAATGCTCCCCAAACTGTGACAAGTGAAGAAAAACAATCTGTCATCTCCTCTCCCTCCACCCCAGTAAGTCCATTTCCACTCCTAAGGTTGGTTTACATCATTCCAGTTCAGATCAGTAACACAGCAAAATGAGGGTGACACCCTCAGATCTGCAGGTTGGTTACCTATTCACGTGGCTCTTGAACTCCACGATCCACCGGCCCAGAGACCAAATCACGCTGCCTGGGTTTCCAGTCCTGGCTGGGCCAGCTTCTCAGGCATGAGACCCCATGTCACCCCACCCAAGACCACTGGCCCTTGGGTGCACTCAAGGGAGACAGGCCACTGCCTTACCTCCACAAGGGCCTCACCATGCCACGTTTTGCGTGAGTCTCACCTGCCCCGCGAAGAGCCCACAGACGCCGATGATGCACAGAATGTTAAACACAGCGGAGCCCACGATGGTCCCCACGCCCACGTCACCCTTGGTGATGAAGACTCCTGAAACACAGACCGAGGTTAGCCGGCTGCTGTGGTGGGCTGTATCCAGAGTGGGTGTGGGGCGGTGGGGGGAGATTTTTATTTATTTATTCATTTTCTGTCAGAGCATAGTTGCTTTACAATGCTGTGTTGGTTTCTGCCATAAAACAAAGTGAGTCAGCCATATGTATACATATATCCCCTCCGTCTTGAGTCTCCCACCCTGCCCCCATCCCAGCCCTCTAGTTCATCACAGAATATCAAACTGAGCTCCCTCTGCTATATAGCAGCTTCCCACTAGCTATCTGCTTTACACCCAAATAAGTATACATGTCAATGCTACTCTCTCAATTCATCCCAGCCTCCCCTCCTCCCACCACCCCATGGACACACCTCTGTTCCTGACATTTGCATCTCTATTCCTGCCTGCAAATATCTTTATCAATGCCGTTTTTCTAGATTCCACGTATATGTGGGGGAGTTTTTTTAAGTGTTAGTTAGACTGTTCTCAGGATCTACAAGAAACAGCCGAGGGTTGGAGACAACTTTCCAATCTCTATTGGAGCCTCTGTCCACAGGACCATTGGAACTGGGTCTGGGACCCATTCATGCAAAGCAAAAACACCGTTTTAATAAGATGAGAATAGCCACTCCAGCGGTGGGGAGGCTGGTGCTCTGCCCCTTGGGGTCTCAGAGCTCCCGTTTCCAGAGCCCTCGTTCCTCAGGGAGGACAGAGCTGAGATGTTCCTCAGGATGGCACCTACCTATGACCGACGTGAACAGCTCCGGGGCCGAACTGCCGGCCGCCATGAATGTGGCTCCCGCCACATCCTCACTGAGGTGCAGGCGCTGCAGGGGAGCAAAAGCACAGGTGAGTTGGGTTTCTCCTGGAAGAGCTGCGACTGTGACTCCCCAGGTCCCAGCTCAGTCCCTCCTCAGCTTCCCCTACTCCCCAGCTGGGCCACACCTCCTCTCTGGGCAGTATGGGGAGGCGGCTACAGGCTCCCTCCAAGTAAAGGCTCTGAGGAGATCAAAGGATCCCAAGCCATTTGCCTGGGGGTTGCAGAGATAATGGGGGGAGGGGAGTGGTCTTGCGAGGCAGGGTGGGCCATTCCCTCCTTTTTAAAAGCTCAGTTCCCTCTATGTTGCCAAATATTCCTATTTACAGAGATGCCCAAATCCACATTTTTATGTAAAAGATTCTGACTTTTTTCACTATCTTGCTGATGTTCTCGGGCTAAATTAGGCTCATGGTAACCAGTTTTTGAGCCTTGAGTCTGGGAGGCTATGGAGGATTTGGGGCTGGGGAGGATCACCCATCCTCAGTGCAGCCTTGAAGCCTGGGGTGGAGGGAATGGGGGGCAGTGAGAATGAGTAGAAAGAGATGGTGAGCCCCACCGAGATGATTCACAGAACAAACTCTCCAGGTTACCTTGCTTGCTGACCCAAAAGGTGATTTGCAAGAAGACATGTGAACTGAGGCTGGGTGATGTGGGGAGGTGGCATGGGGAGCCTTTCTGCATCCACTCCTGGCCCAGAAAGGAAGCTGCTGGCTGTCAGTAAATAGGCGGCTCCCTTGGGCACCCCGGCTTAAGGCCCCTGGTCCCTCTTCCAGCAGCACCATAGCTGCACTTCCCCACTCAGCCATTGTGGGGCAGCACGGCCTCGGTGAAGGCCCCTGGCTCCACTGACCCGTCCGAGGCTGCTGCGGAGCCCTGCTGAACATTTTGACCCGGAAACCTGGGTTCCCTGGATCTTGACTGAACAGTGAACTTTGCAAGTGGTTCTGAGAAGACCCTAAGATGGAGGCGCAGCTGTCTGAAGGTGAAAGGTGTGGCCGTGAGGGTGGCAGGGCATCCCGTCTCCCTGGGCAGGTACCCCAGCAGTGCTCAGGGTCCATGGCTGGTTTGCCCAGGCTCGTCAGGAGCTGTGAGCCTCACTCTGCAGTGTCTGCTTCAGCTCGGGCTCCTGCTGGGGCGTTAGCTGTGGAGTCGACCCCTGGGCTCATACATGTCCTGTTCCTCTCTCTGCTTCATTCATCACATTGCCTCTTCCTCCTGGAGCTCCCCTCCTCTTTCACCCCTCATTCACGTCAGCTCTGGCCACATCTCACTGGGTCCTGGCATCACCAGCTGGTTGGGGGAGCACTTCCTGCTTTGGGACCCTCTCCATCCATCAGAACAGTCATCAAAAGCTTTCCAGCTTCCTCCTGAGAAACTCCTATGTCTGGGCCGGGCATCCTCAGGGCTCCCCACACACTGAGTCTTGTCCCTGGGTTTCCCAGCTCAGTTGTCTTGCTCGGACTCTTGGCTTACATATCTGTCCTTGTAAGACACTGCCACTGAGACCGCTGCTCCCGTCCTGCCCCTGCAGAAGCGCTTCCCTGATCTCAAGGTGAGTCAACTCCCTCTTCTCTGCATCTCCAGCTCCAGCACTTCACCTGTCCCCGGGTCTCACTCTGGAGCTTCTCTGAGCCCCAGGCCCCTGATGGCCAGGATCACACCCACATTTCACCTTGATTCCTCCCCAAGGGCTGTGCTCACAGGTGCCATGTGTGTCCCCAGTGGAGGAGAACACATTCTGCACAATTACACGTACATTTCCAGCACCAGGTCTTAACTTGGCTATTAAACAATGTGTGGTAAAGAGAGTGGTTGGCTTTGTATGAGGACTAAACTGCTCCTAGTGGATTTCAGAGACCACAGATGACCCTGATTACTGGTACTTCAGTGCCTCCCCCTCTTCTCCACCAGGTGACCCTGTTCTCAGGTTAAATTGCTTTGGACAAAAGGCTTCCACACTGGCCATCAATCCATCTCAGAAACCAGCTCTCTCACTTCCCTTCTCCCCCCTCCACTGTACAGAGGAACCCACTCCTGGGGTCTCTCTAGGATTGCTGTGGGATGATTCTCTTTCAAGTACACAAAACTGACTGACTCAGGAGGTGGAAGAAACTGCTTAAGCTAGTAGTTCTCAAGTGTGGCTTCCAGACCAGCACATCTCCTGGGAACTTATTGGAAATGTAACTTCTGTTCCCCACTGTCCCCCAAGACCCAGTGACTCAGACACAGTGGGGAGGGACAGTCCAGGCTGAGGGCAACGTGAAGGAACAGGAGTTCCGGACAGACAGGAGGTGCACCTGGGAGACAGACACTTTCTGAAAACGGGATTCTGAATTAAAAATAAAGCAGAAAGCTTCCAGATAAAGAAAACTACGTTTCAAATCAGAAAAAGAGATGAAAGAAACAAGAGAATTGAAAGAGCTCTGGATATGCTAAATATTTTCAGATGAAAGGGATATAATCGGCCCTGGGGTTCCCTGGGCTGACTTTGAAGAGACCCTTTCCTGATCTCTGCAGCCAGTTTTTTCACTGTCTTGCTTTTTGGGGGCCCTGCTTGCAGTATTTCTGCACATGCACAGAGAGGAAGTGTGGTGGAGGTGTGGCTGAAGACTTCTCACTCTTCGAGGACCCCATGAATCATGAGGGAGGGTTATGGCAGCAGAATGAAAGGGAGGGGAGGAAGGTGGAGGAAGGAGGAAGGAAGAGTGAGACTTAAAAGAAAAAGAAAGTGGGAACAGAACACAAACTGCATTTCAAGTTACACCAAATGGTGCAGGGAGAGCTGGCTGGAAGAGTTAAAGCCCAGCTAAGGATCGGCATGGGCTTCTCTGGTAGCTCAGTTGATAAAGAATCTGCCTGCAATACAGGAGATCCTAGTTCGATTCCTTGGATCAGGAAGATCCCCTGGAAAAGGGATAGGCTACTCATTCCAGTATTTTTGGGCTTCCTTGGTGGCTCAAATGGGAAAGAATCTGCTTGCAATGCGGGATATCTAGGTTTGATTCCTGGGTTGGGAAGATCCCCTGGAAAAGGGAAAGGCTACCCACTCCAGTATTCTTGCCTGGAGAATCCCCATGAACAGAAGAGCCTAGCGGGCAACAATCATGGGGTCTCAAAGAGTTGGACACTACTGAGCGACTAAGCACTACCCAAAACAGCATGCATGGGCACACTGAAACTCTAAGCAGACTGGTGGGTTTCTGGGCTACCACTCCCCATGGCTCTGAAGCATGCTGGTGCCTGGCCTTCCTGCCCGGCAGCATGCAGGGCTCCTCAGGACCTTAGTGAAGGAGGCCGGAACAGTTTCAGTGCTCAAACATGTACCTCACAGATCTTTTCCAAGGAGGGGACGAAGAAGTCGTCACACACAATGGCCAGCGCGTAGAACATGTACATGGCCTGGAAGAGAGGAGAGAAGGGGTTAAAGTCAGAGTCAGGGCAGAGCCCCTGGGGTGAGGGTCAGGCCACCCTCTGCTTCAAGAACATCCTGTCTTCATTAATTCAGCAGTTTATACTATGTACCAAGTCTTTGCAATGCCTGCCACCTATCACATGCTCACCTTGTCCACCTCCTAGATCCCCAAGTGTGCCATGGATGCTGTCCCAGGGCCTTTGCACTTGCTGTTCCCACTGCCCAGGACACGTTCCCTCCAGATCACCTTGCCTCAGTCCTCCATGTACTTAGGGCCTTTGGGTTAATGCCAATCTAAGCAAAAGGCCCTCCCCATTCCCCATATTCTGCTTTGTTTTTCTTGATCTATTTTATGTACAACAGGCTAAAACCCCAATGCCTCTTACAAGTCCATAAACTCTCTCTCTCCAAGACCATATTCCAATATTATGTGTTGATCTTCCTCGAGGTAAGAAGCTTCGTCTAATGCACAGCAGTGCCAACACTTGGATTAGGACGAGAAATGAGCAGATTTGCCAGGCTCTCTGTGCTTTCAAGGGTGAAAGCTACTGAAAACTAAGTTAGTTCCATGCCCGAGGCAGCGTGAGGTAGGACACCCACCCACAGATACTCTGTGACAAGGCTCCTCTGAACACCTAGGGGCCTGCCAGGCCATGGGCTTCTTTCCAGCTCAGAGCACTTCCTGGCATCAGAGGGCAGCCTGCCACTTTGCTTACAAGAAATTCTCTTCCAACTCTTTGCTATGTTACCCACTAGAAGTCAGGTTCCCACTGTGAAAACAAAAAAAACAGAACAAGATATTGATGGGGTGCTGTGTGTGTCAGGGTCAGGGGGATGAGGGAACTCTGTACCTTCTGTTCAATTATGCTGTGAACCTAAAACTGCTCTAAAAGGTCTACCATTAATAATAATAATAATAAAATAGTATAAGGGGACAAAACAAATGTATAAAGTCAAACCTGAAGATGCAAAGGACGTATTGGAAGTGGTGACATGGATGATTTTATCAACGCACTGGTCCAAATACTTTAGAGAATGAGGCATTTGGGGATTAATTTGACCATTCCTGTATTTCCAAAGGATAATATAATATCATCATTTACAATGATAACAATACCACCGTTATTAATAATATTTGCCCCTCTTTGTCAGGCCAGGAATTAAGGCAAGTTCTGGTATTCTCAGCTCTCCTAACTCACATGGGAGGCAGGGGGTTACTGACCCATCTCCCAGACACCACAGAGGACATCTTAACTTCTCCAAGGATCCTCTCCAAGCCTTCCCACAGGGCCATTGTCACCCCACGCAGAGGTCGTTTTTGATTTCTGTCCCATCTCCGGTTCCTATTTCAGCTCACTTACTAATGACTGCCTTCGCCAGCCACACTGAGGGAGGGACAGTTTAAGAATCCTAGTCAGCCACTTTTGGGGGCTGCCCATCAGAGCCACTGATGTCCTTATTTATTTACATTTGAAAAGGTTTATTTTGATTGCATGTTCACATAAATATACCATTTATACACAAGAATAAACGTAATCAGCAAGAACATGAGTAAACTCTTGCTACCTCTGTATTTGGAGTGAATCCCTCTTTTCTTCTATAAATGAATGGACATAAACAGTGTTCCAATTAAAAAAAAATGTTTAAGCATATATCCTTTTGCATTTCTAGGATAAGCTTCCAGATGGGGAGTTGTTGGATAATGGTCTTGTTATTATTTTTACAAGATGCACTGCAAAATACAAGACAGACTGGAAGTCTCAAAAAAGGTTGAGCCGGCCCAATACCCTGGGACTGCCCACGTGGAGCCTAGGCCAGTGGAAACTGCGGCTCAGCTACAGCAAGCAAGGCAGGTGAATGCGGGTCATGCTCTAAAGATGATGAGTGAAGATGTCTGGGGGAGGGGGTCACCTGTGTGAGCTGCAGCTCCAGTATCAGACCACAGGGGCTTTTCTTCCCTGGAATGCATCAGGACATCTCTACTCAGACACCGACCCACATGCTGCCAGGGACCATGGGTCATGTTTCAGGTTTATGTATCTTCAAGAGAAGGGAGGCAGCTATGCCCTTCACATGTTCCTCACTATCCTGTTCCAGGTTTGCCCAGAATGAGGGCCAGGTTTGCCTGGAGTGAATAGGTTCCAAGATGGGAGCACTCAAATAGTAGCTGGTGTCGTCTCTGAAGCCGTTCAGGGAAGTGGCCAAGGAGCATGCCTGGCACAGTGACTGCTGCAAGAGGCAGCCCGCAGCCTTGGAGGAAGCCCAGGATGGGGTCAAGGAACTTGCACCCAGTCCTGGACTTGACACTTCCAAGCTGTGTGACCTTGAGAGACTATCCTGAGCTCGCTAGCCTTCAGCATGAACCCCACCATGCTCTCTAGTTAGCTTCTGTGGCTGCTGGAAAGGAGCAAATGGAAAAAACAAAAGCCAAGACATGTCCCAGTCATCCCTGCTGTCTCAGCTGAGACTGACCAAGCTCAACCCAGTTCTGCTGAACCCCAAACACCCACAAGCTAAATAAATTTTTATTGTTGTATGTTGTTGAGGTTTTCAGGCCACTTGTTATACAGCACTATTGTGGCAACAGCTTAACAGCTACAGCCAAGGTGATGAAAAGAGCCATAGTGAAAACAATAATAACAAGAAGTAACTTCCAAGAAATTTAAAGTTTCTTGTTCTGAGTGACTATATATTCAGCTTTTCTAGCCTCCCTGGAACTAGCCATGACCACTCACACAATCTTGGGCAATGGGAATAAGGGACAGATTCAAGTAAAGTTACTCTTTCTTCTTGCCTTGAACTCAGATGTGATGTCTAGAGTGTCAGCAGCCATTATGTGACCATGAGACAATAAACATGACAATACATACCAACATGCTAAGGGTACCAGAGCCCTGAAGAATGCTATTCACCAGCTGATCTAATGCCAGAAACCACCTGCCTCTGTACTTCTTAGTAGGTGATAAAATGAATCTCCTATTTGCCTCAGTCCCCATTAGCTGGGATTTCTGTACTTGCAACCATGTGCCTCCCTGACAGATACAAGGCATAAAAGATTCATTCTGCTGGGTGTGGGTGAAGGAGGTCAGAGAAGGCTTCACAGACAAAGTGCCTAATGAACTAGGATTTTGAAAGATAAATTCTATTTCATCAGGCAATTTTAAAAATTGATTGGGACCAATAAACTAGAGAACTTTGGTAAAAATAGTTAAACTGCAAAATATCTAAGGTAACAGGAAGTCATCATGGCCTGGGGCTTTACAGGGGTGAACAAGGCTCTAGATGAAATGTTGATACACATAAGGACTTCGGAATTGTGAGGGCAAATGTATCCCACCAGCATGACATTAGCCCTGCTGTTTTATGTGGCATCTACAGTCAGCGGTTTTCACAGACAATTTCCTTTTACTCCATCATCTGTACTCGTGTTTCTCTGTCTTTAATTTCAGTGAAAGTGGTGCTGGAGAAGCAATTTCTAGAGAAGACTGTAGATATCTGGCTTTGGTAGAAATCGTTCTAAATCTCCCAGGGAATATGATCAGAATAAACAACAACAACAAAAAGATCTTTTTTTCTGTCTCTGTCTTTTTCATGGTTTCAAGTGATCATATATGATTAAACTTGGAAAAAAGTTTTTTTTTTAAAAATCATTCTCCCCCTTGAAAAGTTTGGTGCCTGGTGGCCCCATGATGCTATGGCAGAACCGACTCACCCACCCACTCTCAGGTTCTGCTACCATTGTAGATATCACTTTGTTCGAACAGCTCACTGCCCTGGTGATTAGAGAGAGACACAATCTCAGCCAGCCTTGGATTCTGACCAAGAGGATCTGAGGTTGGGGAACGGGCTGCAGGGAAGAGGAACACAGCAGATGGTTAGGTCCTACCAGGTCCCTGGTCCTACCATGTTCATTGGGCGTTAGGGAAGTCTACCTTTCTGCGGGCTTCCCAGGTGGCGCTAGTGGTAAAGAATCCACCAGACAATGCGGAGACATAAGAGATGTGGGTTCAATCCCTGGGTCTGAAAGACCCCCTGGAGAAGGGCATGAAAACCCACCCCATTATTCTTGCCTGGAGAATCCTATAGACAGAGGAGCCTCGTGGGTTAGAGTCCATGGGATCACAAAGAGTTGGACACGACTGAAGTGACTTCGCACGCACACACACACACTGCCTTTCAATAGTCAGAATTTGCCTCAATCTGCTTGAAGACCTGACCAGTGGGAGTTGGGGCATCAGTCCCTGCTTCCTCACTCTTTGAGAGGGTCCCTCCACTTCATCCTCCTGGGTTCCCACAGCTGAATCAAGCTTCAGGAGCCTGTAGTGTCATAAGCTCCAACGCTCACCTTTTATCAGCAATCTCTCCTTCTCCCATCTCACTTCCTACACCCCAATCAATATTTCCTTTTTCCACAAGTGACCACTGAGTTCTAATCATTGTCTTAAGGTCAGCTTCCAGGAGACCTCGAGTTAAAGTAAGAGCGAAGGGTGTTAAGGAAGACTGTGAAAGGAACTAAATGCAGTATTGAAACCAAGCTGCACCACCAAATGCAGAATGTTTAATGAGGGAATCTCTATGCAAGGGGGAGAGGAGGAATGTTTGTGATCTGTCTGTACTTCCTGATCATTTTTTCTGTAAACCTAAAACTATTCTAAATAAATAAATGTATTTTTGGAGGAGTTTGCGATTAACATGTATATACATATATGTGTGTGTATATATATATACTACAAATAAACAAAAGGTCCTACTGTATAGCATAAGGAACTATATTCAACATCTTTTAATAACCTATAATGGAAAAGAATCCAAAAAACATGTGTGTATGTATACATACATAACTGAATCACTTTGCTGTATACCCAAAAGTAACATAACATTGTAAGTTAATTATACTTCAGTTTTTTTAATGGCCAAAAAAATAAACAAAACATTGTATACACACAAAAAAAGAAGAAATCAAGGTGGACCACTTTCAGAAACAATT